TATTACCACAGGAAGCAATTAAGAAAACATTAACCTTTAGCATTAATTTATCTAATACCCAATAGTTAAGTTTTATAGGTCAACAGTAGAAAGAATTCACTACACATATCAAAAGAGTAAAATAGATCCCAACTGTTCAAAATAGCAAATCTCCCAAACGCCTCCTAAATCTCCCCCTCCATCTATACTACACTTCCCACACACATTCCCCCAGGAACCTGACCATAAAAGGAGTCCACCTGGGCGGGGACTGGTTTGCCAGTTCCTGGGTCCAAATCAGAAGATGGCCAAGTGCAATCATGTTTCAACCCAACATCTGAACTAATTACCAAACCCCAGACACCTGCCGGCTAGATGGTATGTAAAACGTGGCTGAGGTGGACAAGCACTCTATGTTGTGTTACATTTAAGTTACAGGTCACGGGGCATCCCCATGACAACGACGACGATGACGACAACAATGATGGGGGACAATGAGCAGCGATTATAGTAAAATAATAGTAACTGTAGTAATAATAAATCAGTGATATTAGCAATGGGAGTCAAGCAGGACCATGGCAGGAGGCTCTGTCAGGATCCATGAGAACCTGTGAGATGAGAAAACACATAAGAACTCCGGGGAAGAAGTGAAGGTTGTAACATGCATTAATAGGACATGAATGTGTGCAGAAAGAGAGACAGAGGAAGAGAGGAGCTCAGTGCATCATGGGAAGTCCCCCCGATAGTCTAGGCCTATAGCAGCATAACTAAGGGATGGTTCAGGACTCACCTGATCCAGCCCTAACTATAAGCTTTATCAAAGAGGAACGTCTTAAGCCTACTTCAGAGAACGCAGTGTTCTAGTGGGGTAATAGGGTACTATGAGCTCTTTAAGATATGAAGGGGCCTGATCATGAAGATCTTTGTAGGTGAGGAGGAGGATTTTAAATTCTATTCTAAATTTTACAGGGAGCCAGTGCAGAGAAGCTAGTACAGGAGAGATGTGATCTCTTTTCCTAGTTCCTGTCAGTACTCGTGCTGCAGCGTTTTGAATTAATTGGAGCGTCTTAATGGACTTATTGGGGCAGCCTGATAATAAAGAGTTGCAGTAATCCAGCGTAGAAGTAACAAATGCATGGATTAATTAATTAATTTCATCGGGCTTGATCGATAGCTATAACTGCGTATCATCTGCATAGCAATGAAAGTTAATGGGGTGATTCCTAATAATGTTGCCTAAAGGGAGCGTATATAATGTAAACAGTATTGGTCCATGTACAGAACCTTGTGGAACTCCATGACTAACTGTGGTATTTATGGAAGATTCATCGTTAACATGTACAAACTGCAAACGATCTGATAAGTATGACTTAAAACAGCTAAGAGCGGTTCCTTTAATGCCAATTTGATGCTCAAGTCTCTGTAAAAGAATATTATGGTCAATGGTGTCAAATGCAGCACTAAGATCTAATAATGCAAGTACAGAGACAAGTCCATTATCAGAAGCAATCAAAAGGTCATGTGTTGTAATGTGTGGGCACTGAACATGTGCATGACAGTATTTCCTTCGTTATTACTAAATGTAACTGTAATCTTATTGTCTTTTTTCTGTAACGTTAACAGAATATAGTTACCTTTCCTTTTGTATCCTAATTACGTAACTCCGTTATAGGGATGCACAATTCATCAAAATATTATCAGAATCACTCATCAATCATGATGAAGGTAAAATTTGTGACCAACAGCATTATAATGAAGTACTTTGGAGCTGCAGAGATACCCTGGCTTACAAATCTTCTCTAAAATTGTGATGCAAAAAGGATCATTTCCACAATAATCATTAATCATATTGCAAGTCCTTCTCTGTTACATGTTTTCCATTAGTACTGACTATTCACTAACAAAGACCACGGCAATGAACGTATGGAATTTAGAAAAATTTTTTTGCATGTAATGAATAAATGTAAACTGATGTGGTGTACTGTAGGAGGGATGAATGGATCGGGAAAGGGTTGAGGGATGAAGGGATGAGGGTCGAGGGATGGAGGGTAGGGGTCGAGAGTTAAGGGATGGGGGTAAGGGTCGAGGGTTGAGGGCTGAAGGGTTGAGGGATGAAGGGATGAGGGATGAAAGGAAGAAGTGAAGAGAGTTCAGGGATGAAGGGTTGAAGGTTGTGGGATGAAGGTTGAGGAATGAAGAGGTATCGGAAGGAAGTGTGAGGGAAGAACAGATGGAAGAAAGGTGGGTTTGTTGGCAGATTGATGAATGGATGGAGGGAAAGGGTTGAGGGATGAAGGGATGAGGGTCGAGGGACGGAGGGTAGGGGTCGAGGGTTGAGGGATGAAGGGATCAGGGTCGAGGGATGGGGTAACGCTCTAAGGATGCGGGGTAAGGGTCGAGAGTTGAAGGGATGAAGGGTTGAGGGATGAAGGGATGAGGGATAAAGGTTGATGGTTGAGAGTATTGGAAGGAAGGGCGAAGGATGAACAGATGGAAGAAAGGTGGGTTTGTTGGCAGACTGATGAATAGACGGAGGGGTTCGGCAAGATTGTAAGAGTGGGTTGTGAGACTGAGTGGGGGAGCTGTCTCTTCGTATATATTGTAGAGAGCCCCCCAAAACCGGTTTTGTGTGGGTACGATAATCTTAATGATGGAACGGGCGAATGTGATGAAGCTGAGTGGTGCAAGGACGTTGAGCAGAAGAAAACGGAGACCAGATTGTCCTTCTGGGGAGTCATTTTCTTCGGCGAGGTTTTCTAAATGGGCGAGGTCGACGTGTATACCTAACTAATCTTACAATGATGACTGAAATAAAACTATTAACTGTTGCAGGGGCTTCCTTGCTTACCTGGACTGAATAAAATTGAATTGAATTGAATTGACTGAAAGGTGAACTGGTATTTTAATTGGACATTAAAAATCCGCTGGAGAGATGGTGAGGTGAAGTCGGGTCGTGGTGGCTTTGCCCGAGGCGGCTGGAAGGATGCCGAAGACCGAAGACTCCCCTGGAGTTGTTGGTGGATGAAGGCTAGAAGCGTCGGGGCACGTGGATTGTTGAGCGGAGCCGAGGTGGCTGACGGGAAGGAATGGTAGGCGAAGAAGAGGACTCTGAGATTTTGGGAGCTTCCTATTCAACTTCAAAACATGTCACTGTCTGAAGGGTTGAGGATGAGCTTGTTCTCTCTGGTTCGAGGTTTTCATTTTTTTGTTTCTGCCGATCATGTGGAAACTGAATCGAGTGGGGAGTGGATGGATAAGGTGTGCTTAAGTAAGTGCGAGGCGTGGTTGTTCCTGAACCTAGTTATAAAACTTCATTTATACACAGTATTTGGCAGGCTATTTCTACCACTGCCAGTCTAACCATCAGTGTTATGCACACTGAGAAACACCATACATACAACACATATTCCTACATTCATGCAAAAACAAAAAAACAAACAAACAAGAAAAAGACTGCAAACAAAATGAAATGGTTTGCATAGAAACACTCTCCCACCAGTTTTATTTCCACAGGAAATGTTTAACAACATTTAAATGTTTAACATTGTGGGTTTGTATTCCCTGGTGTTAGCAATGATTATTTAGGTGAGCACTAAGACAAGATGAGTATAGAAATTAAAATACATTTCATGTACAACAGTGTCATATGTAAAACTGTGGTGAAGGTGATGTGAATCAGGAGGTGAGTTGCAGTTGGTCAGATGTCGCACTTCATGGATCTTTACGTTTTTTGCGTGATTGGATCCGTGCACATTTCGGACACTTCTTTTCCAAAAAACAGTGTTTGTGAAAGCAGGCCCTGCATGCTGTTAAAAGAGAAGCACTATTAATACAGCACTATTTATTACTGTAATGGTTGTGTCCCTGTATTACGCTGTGAATATAACAGCAAAGCCTTTTAAACATGTGGGACCAATGACAGTGGCCGCCCTATCTAGAGCCAGTGTTTGGTTTGTCTGTTCTGGTGTACTGTAGAAACATGGCAGTTCAACATGGCAGACTGTAGTAGAGGACCCCCCTCCCTTTGTAGATAAAAACTGCTCAATCTAAGGTAACAAAAACACGATTCTTATTTTCAGATGATTATACATTAATGAAAACATAGCTATCAATATTATATTCCATTTCTGACAATAGATCCTCCTCAGTGTTACACACTGCACCTTTAATCTGTCAATAACTGATTTTTGGACACAGATACTTACAGGCAGTGGAAGCAAGCTGCAAACAGAACACTGACATATCAGTTTAAATTGATATGGGTGAACCATATCCAGCAGACACAGAGCGACATTAGCATTTACGCTCATGAATTTAAAGCTGCAGTAGGTAAATATAATTTTTGTTATACACACTGAAACTTTCACTATATGCTGACAGTATATAGTCCATGAGACAGATAATCTGTGAAAAAAATTTGCTTCCTCTGGCTCCTCCTAGTGCTCCTAATGGTATTTGTAAGAATCTACCAGGGCTAAACGAAAACAATCAATTAAAGCTGAGAAAGATATAAAGATGCTTTGGGTGGTGGCTTGAAGATAGTTGATTGTTGAGTCTTATTCCCAGGGTCAGTATTTGACGATTTGGGAATGAGACTCAACAATCAACCATCTTTCTTGGCTCTGATTGGTTGTTTTTGTTCAGGCCCGGTAGATTCTTGCAAAGGCCACTAGGAGCACTACAATGACATTTTTTCACAGATTATCTGTCTCATATACTACTACATGTCAGGATGTAGTGAAAGGATATATAAAAGTTACCTACTGCAGCTTCAAGTCTAATATTACTGTTTTTGGTCCCCACAAACATCTGAGAAAAATATCTGGTTCTTGTAGTTTTATTTCCCACTTCCTACTGTAATATTAAACCTGTCTGAATTAAGCTTTTATCTACAAACAAGCATGCAATTCCTGCCCATTTGCCTTAATTTTACAGTATATGTATACAGTTTAGGACATCTGATATCTTGCACATACTGTATCATCTATTTTATTTAGTAGTCAACATCTGTCAGCTCTTACCTGGACAGCGCTTACATATGTCACTCTGAAAAGGAAAGATGATGTCTCTTTCTCGGCAGAACTCGCAGATAAAACCTCGGGCCAGACACAACTGTGGAAAAAGTCAGAAATAATTGTCAGAATTAGAGGTTTGATTCCACAGAGTGCAGTGATAGCAGGAGTCCCTCCTCTAAAACAAAAATGTCCCAGAGTAATATAGTTGAAGAACAAGCTATGGATGTGTCATTTTAGAGATACAGCCTATGATCATCATGATCATTAGGAACTGTTTGGATGAAGTGAAAGACAGACAGACAGAATCCCAATGAGATTAAGAGGTATGTTACCACTGGCATATTTTTCAGTGACCCTTTAGTAGGCCATTATTTAAAAGATCTTTGCCAATAAGCACACCCAGAACCAAAGGGACATCTTGGTAAGGGGTGATTGTTGTGAACCACCCCAACATTTTCTATCTAACCTACCATGTGGGAATTTCCAGATGTGTAGTGGCATTTTTTTAAGCATCGGAGGGCACCCACAATGCATGCATATCTGTGCACGGACTTGTTGTGAAGGCTATATAACTACTGTTCCTATGGTGGTAGGTTTACATACATTAGTCACGATCCAATAGGCTAGGCTATGAAAAAAAAGTTTAACAGGCTGGCTTTGTAATGTTTCTTTGTGAAGGGGATGTCAGAAGAGCCTGCAGCTACCAGAACCTTTTAAGGCGGAATGTTTTCTTGCATGTTAGTTGATGCACAAGTTGTTGTCATTAAATAATCAACACTTTAAAAAGAGTTATTCAGGGCGCCTTCTAGCTGCTTTAGCCTTTAGTCTACCCTTGCTGCTTCCTCTGCAAGCCGCTTTCCAACCCACCTCCACTCAGCTCCTCCTTTTATGCTGTATCCGATTGAATATCTGTTGTCACTGATGTTTGCTCTGTTCTGTACCATGGTGGGTCTTTGCTGCTGCTCTCCTTGCCCTAAGCTGTCCATGTACAGTGGTATGTAAAAGTTTGGGCACCCCTCTGAGAATTCATGATAATTTGCTCGACCTTTATAAGAGAAGATCACAGCAACAAGATTTGTTTTCCTACAGAGATGTAGACATTTGAGTGTTTTCCAGACCGAAATTCTATTCTATGTAGCATTACATAGTTTTATTATAATAAAATAAAATGTAAAAAATGGGATGTACAAAAGTTTGGGCACCCTTTTAATCGCATTAATTTCAAGACCTGTAGGGATTTATAGCTGAGAGGTTGCAGCACAAAATTGCTTTGATTAGCTTGTGAGACCTTCAATTACAAAGACAGGTGGAACCAATCATGAAAAAGGCTGTTTAACATAGGTAATTGCTGGCTGTACTTGTCCTAGGTTCTTTCTTAGAGTATGGCAACATGGGGGCCTCTAAACAACTCTCCACTGACCTAAAAACTAAGATAATTCATTATTATGAATTAGGAGAAGGGTACAAGAAATTATCTGGAAGGTTTGGACTGTCTGTCCCCACAGTCAGAAATGTAGTGCCGAAATGGAAGGCCTCAAGAACAGTCCTTGTAAAGGAAAAATGTGGTAGGCCGAAAAACATACAGGAAAGGCACAGGCGAAGGGTGGTTAGAATGGTCACAGACAAGCCACAGACCACCTCCAGAGAACTACAAGAACATCTGGCTGCTTATGCTGTAGTTGTTCATCGCTCCACAATCCAGCGTACTTTGCATCAGGAAAAGCTCATTGGAAGGGTGATGCGCAAAAAGCTTTCCTGAGTGTTCATCACAAGAAGAGTCGTATGAGGTATGCAGAAGCACATCTGGACAGGCCAGAAGCATTTCTGTGGTCAGAATACTGTGATCAGATGAGACTAAGATAGAGTTATTTGGTCAGAACAAGCGGAGGTGTGCATGGCCAAAAAAACACACTGAATTCCATGAGAAGAACTTATTGCCTACTGTGAGGGGTCCATCATGTTATGGGGCTGCGTGGCTAGCACAGGTACTGGAAACATGGTCAAAGTTGAGGGCCACATGAATTCCTCTCGGTATCAGCAGATTCTTGACAAGAATGTTCAAGAGTCGGTCAAGTTGAAGCTACGCCGGGGTTGGATTTTTTCAGCATGACAGTGATCCTAAGCACTGTTCAAAATCCACCAAGGAATTCATGAAGAAGCACAAGTACAATGTTCTGGAATGGCCATCCCAGTCCCAAGACCTTAACATCATTGAAAATGTATGGATTGATTTGAAGCAGGCTGTCTACGCACGGAAGCCAAGAAACCTGACTGAACTGGAGGCGTTTTGTATGGAGGAATGGGTCAAAATACCACCTGCCAGACTTCAGGGACTTGTCTGTGGCTATAGGAGGCGTCTACAGGCTGTTATTGCAGCAAAAGGAGGCTCTACTAAATATTAATGGAATTATTTATTTGGGGTGCCCAAATTAATGCACATGCCTATTTTTGTCTAAATGCACATAAAAATGTTTCTGTTGGACCAATAAAAATGATTTCACTACTGAGATGTTTCTGTTTCCATAAGGTATAACATATGTTAAAATGAAGTTGCTGCTTCAAAAGCTCAGCAAGTGACAAACTGATGCAGTGATTTTCCTAAGGGGTGCCCAAACTTTTGCATACCACTGTATGCACATAGAAGGGCAGGGAAGACCCAGAACAGAGCCATACCGCCAAATATAACATTCTGCATTTGGAAATAAAGTTTTCTTTTGACAAATGTGACCTGGCTGAACAGGGTTTGTGAAAGCAGGCCCTGCATGCTGTAAATGCGTGAAAATGTACATCAATTTCGACCGGATTATGTGAACTGTGAATATTCTATTTCCTCACTTGGAGAAAAAAGTGTCATTCCAGTGCGCTCCACAGGACTATACCTACAGGAATTTCCCTTGTTTGGTCTACATCTGTGCCCAGTGTAGATTTATGATTAGAGGAGGTGATTTGTACATCCGGTAACTGAAAAAAATTCAACATTAAGAACAGGATCTCTTGTAGAAACTTAACTTAATCAGATAAGATTGAAGTTCTGGTTATTGTTAATGGTTCTGATCATATTTCTAACCCTCCACCTCAGACCACTAACAACAAACAGGAAACCCTCAGCTAGAAACTTGGGAGTTGTTTTTGTCCAGTACCTTGAACCTTGCTTTGCCAGCACAGAGTATAATCCCAGTATTTACAAATTTAGAAATATCGCCAAAATCAAACAGATGCTCTGCAAAACATAGCTGAACAACTTCTCCATGCCCTTATTTCCTCCCACCTAGACTACTGCAAATTACTATTTACTACCTGAAGGACTACTGTCAGTTCAGAATGCAGCAGCAAGACAACTCACACACACTTAATGTAGGGAACACATCTCTTCAGTCCTGACTGAACTACACTGGCTCCCCATCCGCTTTTAAAAACACACCTATACAGGCTGGCATTTGTATGATATTTTATCATGTCAACTGTTTTTGTTGCTCTTTCATATGTTGTTGTATTTTCTGTGTTGATTGTTGAAATCTCTATTTTATTTTATGCTATCTTTGCACATATTATATTGTATGGTATTGTATTTTGTCAAGCATCTTGTAACTTGAGAGGTGCTATAGAGTATATAAAGTTTATAACCAAATATGTGGTCTATCTATTGAAATGTCCTTTTGTGTTAACATATACAGGTAAAACTAAACAGGTGTGATATCTGTACATAAAGGTATACAATGGTACTTCCTTTTTTTTGGTGATAAGGACAGGGGAAATCTATTACATTCTATTACAGGGGAAATCATAATGGCCAGATGTGGCCACGATCTATGCCAAAATTTAAAAACAGTTACATGAAGTCCCAAATCTTGTCCAAAGCCATGTTGTACAGTGCTATTGGGCCCTATCTTGCCGATCTGAAACGCAAGTATCAAACGCAAAACGCAAGTAGCTTTGTGGGCGGATCTCGGGCGCTGTTGCTATTATGTCGGCGGGATAAATGACTCTTGCGCCCAGCGCAAATCTAAAATGGGTTGGTCTGAAGTAGCTACATTAGTCATAGGTGTGGTTTGGGCGTAACGTGCAATAAACCAATCAGAGCGTCATCTCACATTCCCTTTAAAAGCAGGTGCGCTTGTTCCATGGCGTATTGCTATTATAACGGCGGTTTTGCCAGGCGCACGCCAGGAGCGGTTCACAGCCGAGGAGACCGACGTTCTCGTCATGGCCGTAAAATACAGAGAAGTGGCATTATTGACATGAAATAAATGCAACACAGCCATACAATAAATCAAAACAATGTAGCGCAGCTTCCAGGAAGAAGACCCTGGCCTCGGGAGCAGTGCGCCCGGGCCGAGCAGTGCGCAAGGGCCAGCTGAGGAGGGAGCAGTGCAAACACCAAGGTGCAGAGGATCCAGACCCACTACACGCCGGAGGACCACCCGTTCCTGCAGCAAACCGGGTTTGACATGCTGGAGCGGGAGCTGTCCGGGATGCGGCACAGTATTAATGCCCGTCTTGACCGGGTGGCGATGTTGCTGCTGCCTCTCAGGCGCATCCCCTCAAGTCTGCGCCCTTAAAATAGCATCTGAATAAGCGCCACTGACTTTAGACTAGGTTTTTCCTGGTCTGTGGCGGAATTGTTATCTGAAACAGCAAAATAGCACCAGGGAACGTTTGCACCGGAACACGCCTCCTCTTTTCACTGAACCGCCCCCCGGAGCGCAAGTTCATTCCCTAATTTAAGGATGTGCGTCGGTGGAGGGAAAATTCCAATGTGCGTCGAGTGCAAAATAGGAATTATACAAGCGCCAGTGTACAAAGTCAATTGCGCTGAGTGCAAGATAGAGCCCTTAGACTCACTTCACAATGTTCAACGTGATGGATGGAGGAGTGCAGCAATGCCTTAGCCTGCAGCACAAGCTGACCCTTCTTCACCCTCAGGAGGTCCTCCATGGAGAAGACGAGAGGCTGCTCCATCAGATGAGCAGGAAGCTGTTCAAACTCAGTCATCACCCTGGGACACAAACACACACACATCAAAACTTTCTTGATAATAATATAACATGTTTGTAGACCTTTGGCTGCATTATTTTGGTTGAACAGTGCATTTGAACTTGAATGTCAGAGGGGAACTCTAACTTCAAATAGTTTCATTTGTTCTAAAGATCTGGTTATTAATGGATGGGATGTACTAGTTGCAATGGCTTCAATTTGGAAGTAATTGCCCTTGTTGTGCCCTCACCACATGCCCTCACACAGAGTAGGCTTAAGACGGTCCTCTTTGATAAAGCTTATAGTTAGGGCTGGATCAGGTGAGTCCTGAACAATCCCTTAGTTATGCTGCTATAGGCCTAGACTATCGGGGGATTTCCCATGGTGCACTGAGCTCCTCTCTTCCTCTCTCTTTCTGCACTCATGTACCATTAATGCATATTACTAACTTCACTTCTTCCCCGGAGTTCTTGTGCTTTCTCGTCTCGCAGGTTCTTATCGATCCTGGTGGACCCTCCTGCCATGGTCCTGCTAGATTGCCATTGCCAATACTGTTGTTGCTGTGCACCTGTCTGTCTCTCTCTCTCTCTCTCTCTCTCTCTCTCTCTCTCACACTCTCTCTCTTTCACCCCAACTGGTCGAGGCAGACGACCACCCACCTAGAGCCGAAGGATCTGTCCTAGGTTTTTCCTTGCCCTTGTCGCCAAGTGCTTGCTCATGGTGGTACTGTTGGGTCTCTGTAAATAATGTTTTAAAGAGTTCGGTCTATACCTACTTTATTTGAAAAGTGTCCTGAGATAACTTCTGTTATGAATTGGCGCTATACAAATAAAATTGAATTGAATTGAATTGTTAGAGCAAAGTAAGTCAGACAGCAGTTGCTGCAAACTGATGTTTTTGTCCTGTAAGCCTGAGATCAGCCTGACCTGACAAAAAAATGGGCCTTTGACATAACAATTGATCATTTTAATTTGCGTAGTGCGGACAATGACTGATGCCACTTCATGACGTCCCAACAGAAAGACTAGCCTTCCATGTCAAATTCCATTACGTGTTATGTGATCCATGTTCTGTATTGGCCAACTGTCACGAACCGGACAAAATTCACACACATCACCAACACAGCGGCCAAGATGATCGGACTCCCCACACCCAATCTCACAGAACTAAACAACAGGGCCATCTCACGCATTGCAACCACAATAGAACTGGACATTACACACCCACTCAACCAATATCTCACCCCACTGCCTTCTGGACGGAGGTACCGAACATTAAGGTGCAAGAAAGCTCGCTATGGGAAAAGCCTGATCCCTGCAGCTATTGCTGCTTTAAACAAAGGGGCGCGCTGAGTGTGTAACCTGTCATGTATTATTTATTTGATTGGTTTTTTTTTTTTTGTTTTTTTTTTGTTTTGTTCTGTAGATTTGTTAATTGTGGATAGCGTGTTTCTTTGTTGAGTGTATGGTGTTGCCTGCAGGTGCAGTGATGTGAACATGAATTTCCCCCTTGGAGGACAATAATTTGAATTGATTTACTGATAGAGCACAGAATGCACGAAGCAAACTAGCTTAATGGAGTGTTTTACTCTAGAATATCTGACCTGTCTGCTCCACTCCTCAAAGGGACAGTTCATGAGGATATGGACTTCATTACTCCGCTTGTCGAATTCCACAGTGGCTTCAGCAGTTGCAAGCATTCTACTTGACTAATTATTGACCCTCTCTTGTACCTTGCTTACAATACTATAATTGGAATCCTTTTATTATATCTGTACTATATTTTTTTTTTAAAATGCATTGATTGTTGCATTGTCATTGTTAATATTTTAAATGTTAACAAACACTCAATTCAGTATTACAACATTATCTGCATAAACAGTAATATTTAATCCAAAGTTTGTACTAAATGTTCTGTACCTTCCAGAAAATCTGCAGGCCTTCAGCAGCTTCTTGACACCCAGCAGCTGATCCTGGAGCTCCTGAAGGAAAGAGGAAGGAAGGAAGGAAGGAAGCAAATAAAGGATAAAAGGAACAAAGGTAAAGTCAATAGAAATAATGGAATTAAGTGATATGATATATGATATTAAAATAATAATAATAATGATAATAATAGTAATTGAGTATTAACTCACCCTGAACTTGTCCAGCTCTTTCACTCTGCTGTACAGTGTCTTACCAACGCACCTCAGGTCAAACAGAGGCTGATGCCAAACTGAATCCAGCAGCTGTTTGGAGAATTCACTCACAGGGTACCTGCAATATTCATATCATTATGACACATCTGATCAACAGTCAGAGTAAACAGTAAACATCTGTCTGTGTTCCAGCTGAGGTCACTGAATGGTGTTATATGAATCATCATACCTTTAATATGATTGAGAGTAGCAGTAGAATTAATATCTGTCTGTCTGGGAATTTACTTAATGTATCATTACTTTTATTAGCCTTCGTTTTTAATCTAATGCTCTAATTTATTTTTCTTTGTTTTTTTATTTGAATTGAAAATTATGTTATGTTATTTGCTAAAAAAGGTCAACATTGTAAAACTTGTTACCAGAAAGTTATTGTATTCAAAGTTTTTTATAGCAAGCAGGACACTAGTTTCAGTAGTATAACTGCTATGTTTATTATTACTATTAAAGCTGCAGTAGGTCATATTTGCTGAAATGTTCACTATATCCTGGCAGTACTACATGAGACAGATAATCTGTGAATTTAAAAAAAAAAAGGTATCTCTGGCTCCTCCTAGTGCTTCTAATGGCATTTGCAAGAATCCACCACACCCAAACAAAAACAACCAATCAGAGCCCAGAACCCCACCATCCTGTGCTGGGGAGGAGACATCAGGACTTATGGTGCCCACAAGCTGAGCAAGCTGGTGAGGAAGGCCAGCTCAGTGGTGGGGACAGAGCTGGACAGTGTCATTTATAGTTTTATATTTTCTATTATATTTTGTAATATTCTAATTTCTGATACAATTATATGTACACTGTACTCTTTTTATTGCACTATATTCCCCAATGCAACTGTGTTTGAATTTCTCCTACGGGGGATTACTAAAGTTATATCTTATCTTATGCAAATGTCATCAATAAAAGTACTGGGACAATAAATCAAATGCAGCTTTCCAGGCACTGTGTGTGTTTAAGAAAAAAAGAAGCACATATTTACTGCCATTATGCCAGGGTTAGCTTGTTTGACCTGTCTGTGTTATTGGAATAAAGCTGAACATCATGAAACATCACAACCTATTGTCCTATTAACCTATTATTGATACAAAATAAATAAACAAAATAAAGAGTTAAAAAAAGGATTAAAATGTATGTATAAATAAAAAAAAGGGATAAAACAGATAGATAATAATATTAATACTAGTGGTACTAGTGGAAGTTTTATTACCTGCCAAAGTCCCAACAAGACAGAACCCGACCAGGAATCATAGCCTCAGAGCCGCTGTGGCAGCAGTCACAGAAATACCTGCCACATGAATTAGAATTAATATGTAACTTCATCTTTTTGTTAAGACCATCAACCAAGGTTATTGTAGTTCAATAAAACTAAACTAAAAACTAAAACTAGCTATGAAAGAAACATCTTAGGTAACTGAAATATACATAAAAACTAGACTTTAGAAAACAACAAAATCTAACAACAATACTCACCCCAACTGGTCGAGGCAGACGACCACCCACCTAGAGCCGAAGGATCTGTCCAAGGTTTCTGCCTTTTAACAGGCAGTTTTTCCTTGCCCTTGTCGCCAAGTGCTTGCTCATGGTGGTACTGTTGGGTCTCTGTAAATAATGCTATAAAGAGTTCGGTCTAGACCTGCTCTATTTGAAAAGTGTCCTGAGATAACTTCTGTTATGAATTGGCGCTATACAAATAAAATTGAATTGAATTGAATTGAATTGAATTGAATACTCTGTACTTACAAAACTAACTAAAGTAGATTAAAGTATACAGGAAGTGTCTTTAGTTTTAGTGTTTGTCAATTTGGTCAAATTTGTCAACAGAACGAGCATGAGGAGGCACTGGTGCATCTGTTTATTGAGTCTGTCAATGTGTTTGTATTGTAATACCTATTCTGACAAATATATATTATATAATAAATAATAGGTCTTAATAATAATATTATAATAAAAAAAAACAAATAGGGAAACTAATACAAACTAAACCACAACTAATCTGAAACAAGCAAAAAAAAAAAAAAAAGCTAATGAAAAATAAAAAATTATAATAACTCATCAATACAGTTGTGTATTTTCTTTACTGTTCATTGTTTTTTATTTATGCTGGCAGCCTGGCAGCGGAGATGTCAGCTTGCTGTTTGTTCCACCTTTTTGCAATATACTGTAATATATCAGCAACTATCAAATTAATGACCATGAAATTTTGTATAGATATTCATGGTGATCCTCTGACTTTTCCTCTGGCGCCACCATGAAGTTGACATTCGTGGTTTTTGGTTAAATATACTATTGGATGGATTGCCACACTTATACTCAGTTTTGTGCTAAATGGCAAATGTTAAACTAAGATGATGAACACGGAAAACATTTTATCTGCTAACCATCAGTATGTTAGCATTAACATTGTGAGCCTGTTAGCATGCTAACATTAGCATTTGGCCCAGCCTCAAAGTATTTTATACGTACCTGCCGAGGTATTCACAATATCGTAGTTTCTTGATGTACTCTGGTGGCAGAGAGAGAGGCAGAACTTTCAAGGGGAATCTGACCCGGTGGCAGACATTAAGAATAACTAGATAGAAATATATATATATATATATATATATAATATCTTATTTTCTGTTGGTCTTGTTTGTTGATGTAGCTCATATAGAGACATCAGTATTAGATTGAGGCTGTTTCATAACCAGTTAAAAATGCTGTTCTAATTCTGACATCCTGCAGATACAGCAGAATAGATATCAAAACACATTGTTTTCAATAATTCACTTTTCCTTAACTGACCCTTAACACTTGAACTGGGGAATTAACCCTATAAAGTACAAAATGTTTGGTGCTCTTTACAATCCAATACTCACTGGGCTCTACCTCTGTCCCACAGCCTGCACATAGGAAGTGCTGCAAAGCCACTATTGCACTGCGTCTGGATGAGGAAACAAACAGTCAACTGTGAATTTACACACACACACATATATATATATATATATATATATATATATATTAGTGCTGTCAAATGATTAAAATATTTAATCGCGATTAATAATGTCATAGTTAACTCGCAATTAATCGCACATTTTTATCTATTCTAAATGTCCCTTGATTTCTTTTTGTCCCATTATTTTTTCTCATTTTAATGCTCTTATCAACATGGAAAAGTGGCTTGCTTTGTGCAAATGTTATTATTGGCATATACTGTAGTGTTCAATTTCACACTAACATCATCCATTGTCGCCTGGTTTTGACGAAGGGGGAGGAGAATTCGGATCAGCTGTGTGCTTGGCCACCAAGTGGTATTTCAGACTGGACGTGCTGCGATGATAGCTCAGTTCACAACAACAAAACACACAGATCACTTTGGTCTTATCAATGGAACCATTTGGCAACTTTTTAAAAGTAAACTTTCCATTCAGAATATTATTGGCATCCATGTCGGCGTCTCGTGCTCGCCATCCACTCAAAACGTAACGTCTACTACTCTTAAACAAGTGTGTGCGGCGTGCCTGTTGTTTTGTTTCCGGTCTAGCTAGATCCGGTGTAGTTGTTGCAACAGCATGTGAAAAAAACTACAAAGTGTGCTAGGCCAAAAAGAACGTTAATCTCGTGATAAAAAAATGTACGCCGTTAAAATGGGTTAGCGTTAACGCCATTAATAACGTGTTTAACTGACAGCACTATATATATATATGTGTATATATCAGATGCAACGAAGACCTGGGGCTTGGTTGAACAGTGAAGATGATCTGGAAACGTGGTGGGGCCCAGCTCAGTGATCCTCTCATCCTGGTCCTCAGTCTGATCTCCTCTGTTAGGCTGTCACTGCTCACCGCCATGTTTCCGGTACCTGGCAACTGCCAAAGATGAGACAAAAGGCTGTCAGAGAGCAAAGGTAAAAAATATTATACAATGAATTTTATTTTATTTTTTGTCATATCAAGCTAAGTTTGTCTGTCAGCAGTGGTAAACACATTCCATGGTTCCAGCTTCACAAATGTGAATAATTGCCACTTTAATTATTTTGATTTATTTTTAATAATTTTGGACTGTTGGTTGGACCAAACCAATCAGTCGATTAATGGTGAAAATAATCTGCAGATTAATTTGTCCTATACAACCAACAGTAAAATCCTGCAGTAATAATAATCATGACAAAATGTGACAGTCACTGTCAGCCTCTTTTTCTTTGGCATTAAGTACTTTTAGTTTTGAGCATTTTACACTCAACATTTAATACTTTAAGTAAATTTCTTGATTATACTTACATACTTACAGTGAAACTTACAATAAAAAACAATAAGTTATAGAGTCTCCATCACACTAAATTAAAACAATTATAAAGCCATAATTTTCATATTTGGTTGCTGTACATGTTCTCACCTCCTGTAGCGAGCTATGGAGGCTTTGCCCACCATGTTGAGGCTGGTTGGAAGGAAGCCAGCTCCTCCTGAACTCCAGCACCAGCTGCTGGGCCAGCCACTCTGCACTGCATTATGGGAGACCACAGACTGACTCAGGGATCACACAATCAGAACAAATGTATAGATTTGGACACATAGATACGTTTAGACCTTAACTATAAGTTATTTATGGTTTGTTTGTGAGTTCTTACTTTCTGGGAGAATCTCTCTGTGTCAGTGTAGTGTCTACTCCACTTTCTGGAATGAAAACGCATAAAATGATATTCAGGAATGTATTAATTATTGTTTACCTAGAGAAAAATAATTCCTACAGTTAGTTATAATACATTCCCTTACTCATTCGTCAATGTTAGAGTCCACATGAAATAGAAATCAGAGTGCTATTTGCTTATGTTTTTTAGTTGCTAACTAACTAATGGCATCCCACGGTTGGAATGTTTAGCAACAAGTCCATCTGGAAACTCCCCTCTGTACCGCTGTCATTAAATTGTCCTCTGTCTGTCTGAGAGGCCATGTTTACTGGGAGACTGCTGAGCCCCGTATTGTTGCATGCTAACAGCAGCTCCTTTAGCAGTTAGCTGAGTTGAGGCAGATCAGCCAGAAGACCTCAGATAGAAAACAAGAAAGTATTTCTTCCTTAAAATATGATCCAGTTTTACCCAAATCCCTAATAAAGTTATGTTTTTGTACGGTAGAGAGAGCCATGCTGTTGCTACCTTGCTAACTAATTAACCTTAGCTCTTTATTGCTTAAAGTGGAAGCGTGACGAGTGAATGTCTTACTATTATTGGTTGAAATTGGTTGGTTAGCGCTTAGGTTTTAAAAAAATATTTCATTTTGATATAAAAATACAGTTGTTCGTTTTTTTGGCATACATTGTTTAGTAGGGATACAGTACGACTAGGTTAAAAAGGGGGTTACACAGGCATTTTTCATTTCATTTGGACTTCAATATGCACTTTATCCCAGATATTTCATTTGTAATAAAGTGCTGGTACATAAAAATACTGTCTTTGCCTGGTTCTGTTGCCGGCTAATGGCAGATACAGCTAGGATGATTATGAACCAAGTGTGAACCTATCGTGACGTCACCCATTGGTACCTGTAGACTCAAGTTTGGCGACTGGCCACTGCCATGACAGTAAAACGGAGCCAGTGCGAGCCAGCGAACATGACATACTGCAAGTTGGTCTACGCTCACTGGCTGAGCAGTTCATATGTCAATTATAAGGTAGCCCCGCTGAAAAGCATAACAGCTTTATCGTCTATTTTACTATAAATGGGACCATAATTGACTAAATGAACATCAAAATGTATGGAAGCTGTTAAACTAGCGACGGAGACCCTAAACTCATCAGCAAACTGATTACTGAGCTCATAAATTAAGTGAGAAGTCGGCTCATTCTCCATTAAAGTGAATGGGATCGCTGTGTTATTGCAGCCAATGGAGCTCCCTCTGCTGTAATTTACATAGAATGCAGGTTTTGAGACACTTTCGCGTTAGCTTCACTTTTCAGACCCGGAATCTCTTTCCATTAAATATACTGTCAATGTGATGAACACAGTTAACATTGTAACAGCTAACCATCAGTATGTTAGCATTAACATTGTGTGCATGTCAACTTTGAGGACACTTGCTGACTAATATATCCCACCCACTGACAGGTGCCCTGGTAACCAGTGCTCAGTGTTATTCACTTCACCTCTCAGTGGTCATAATGTTGCCACTGATATATATATACATATTTATATTGCTAATAATATTGTTATTATTATTATTACTATTACTATTACTACAGTTACTATTATTACTATAATCACTGTCATCGTCATCATCTTCTTCATGTTCATCAGTATCACCATCAGTCACTACTATTAGTGTAGTTATTGCTGTGCAACTTTTGTCTCTTACGTCGTCACCTCTGTCTCTGTCCTTCGGTCTTTACCCCATTTCTCTCTCTCTCTCTCTCTCTCTCTCTCTCTCTCTCTCCCTCTCTCTCACCCCCCAACTGGTCGAGGCAGACGACCACCCACCTAGAGCCGGGGTCTGCCCGAGGTTTCTGCAGCTTAAAAGGCAGTTTTTCCTTGCCACCATCGCCAAGTGCTTGCTCGTGGTGGGAACTGTTGGGTCTCTGTAAATAACTTTCGGTCTAGACCTGCTCTATTTTTAAAAGTGTCCTGAGATAACTTCTGTTATGAATTGGCACTATACAAATAAAATAAAATGTCATTGAATTGAATTGAATGTAGCCTGAGAAGAAAATTTCTGGGACAAAAAAAGTCAACAAAGATGCTAGAAAACGTTTTGCTATGAGTGCAACAGCTGAAGGAAACTCAGATGAATGCATCAATATTTGTTGGGATTTCTATGTTGCTCGGTCTGTTGGTCCAAACTGAAATATATCAACTGAATGGATTGCCATGAAATTTGGTTCATACATTAATGTTTCCCATCAGGATGAATCCTCATCAGGTCAACATTTTGGACAAATATATTCCTAGGAATATAGGACAAATACAGGATTTGAAGAGTGAGAGAGACATGTCCCCCCCATCCCCCACTGAAATGATCCAAGCAGTTATTTTGGAATTTGGGGGATTTAGATAACAAAACAAAGGAGTGTGTCTTTAAAATATACTTAACACATAAAATACTTTATTTTACTTCCGTCACTCTCCTTTATTATATTTATATGTAGATATAATTCAAAATAATTTTACCTTCGAATCCACTGTCAGTGGAGAGGACAGAGAAAGTCTTTGGTGGATGTTCAGCTTCGTCATTCCTGTCTTCCTCCTCTTCTTCATCCTGTGTGTGTTGGTGCGTGTGTACATAAGAGGAGTGTGTGTTTCTGTGTGACGTCTTCATGTTTTTATGTGAAGGTCTGCCCTCTCTACAGGTCTGTGTGTGCCTGCATGCTCTGTGTATGTCCTCTGCCAAGCTTGTGTGTCTGCACATCTTGCACTTTGTGTGTTGGTGCACGTCCATCATGGGAGTCCATCGATCAGAGCTCAGAGTCCATTTTACACCTTCCAGCACCTCCAGCACCATGTCCACCACAATGAAATGAGCATTTTCCTGCACACAGTCATTCATACAGACAGTGGCAAAACAGCTTGTTATCATCATACATTATTATTATATGCACTGCTGTTTGGTGATGTATGGTTTAGCTTTGGGTACGAAAAAGTTGCAGTGATTGGTTAAACTTGCAAGGCCGCAGAAATTACAAAGATTGGTTGAATTTGCTGTTAATTGTTGTGATTGCAACTTCCTGGAGGGACTGATTTGCCTTTAAAGCAGAAATGGGAACACCACAGTAGAGTACAAGTTCTGCCTTCCAGCTGTGAATCATCCAAGAAACATTTACAAGACCAACCGCAAACCTTAGCTCCACAGAAATCCAGTTATGGAAAGTAATTAAGTTACATTTCCTTAATATTGCGATACTTGGATTAGGTTACGTACTGCATTTTTTAGCTCCCAAACCATGGAACTGGAAACAAAAGTAGATAACACACCTTTTCCACCTCACAACTGGTCTTAAAGGTGTCTGCAGAAAATTCTGGGATACTACTGCAGCTTCTCTCTTTGCTGTCTTGTGTTGAGGCGGGGAGGCCTGAGAGAACATACACACACGTAAAAAGAGTACAGCTTAATTTAACAGTGAAATCAACATTGAATCAAATGTATTCCTCTGACAAGCTGAAAAACTCTCTCTGCTCTCGACACAACAGCACTCAGCGCACCACTGCAAACAAAGTCCTGCATACAAAACTCCAATAAGAAGTGTAATCTGTGCAAAAGATTTACAAATCACATCACACAGACAGTTCATTTAGGTTACTCAGGCACGGGCTGTAGTGAAGCACCAACTACTGCAGAGAGAAACTCCCTCAAGACAGCAACAAGGCAAAAAGATTACAGAGGGTTTGTTATTTTAGACTTCATTCTGTAAACAGTGTCTGTGTTTTGAACGAGACTTGTGTGATGTTACTGGTTGTTAATACGCATTCAGAAAAATTACTGCTTTTTCTGTTAGCATTTAATGGGCTATTTTATTGTATCTATAACTCGCCTTGAATTTGTCTCTACCACAACAGAAGGTCTTGTCAAATTGCTGCGGTAAAGACATGTTGCAGAAATTACGTTTTTGCTAGTATTGCAGAAGAATGCAGCTGGCAAAGGTCTGCTGTGTTAAATTTGATTATTAGCATAAACACACACTAATATTAATTAATTTTTTTAATGTAGTTCAAAATTCACCATTGCGGTAAAATCTGACCTGCCCAGTCCACAGGTAACCGGGAACATCGGGGAAGGTCTCATTTTCTAATTTACATTACAACCTGTTCCAAGTTGTAAAATGATCAGAATCAGAATCTTACATATTAAACTTTTTCTTTGATTGTAAGCCCTTCTTCCCAAAATATGTGATTCATTTGATTATATTGAAAAATGTCACTTAAATAAGCCAATATTTTTAAAACGGTTCAAATTACCTCATATCAAGGATAAAGGGAATGCTTTTATCATTAAACCAAGATTAATTAATTATAGATACATTGAATGCAGTAGAAAAAAGGCAAAAAGTGTGTACAAAGACACAATTTGTTTTTATGTTCATTTAATATGTTGTTGTAAATTTGCTCCGGGTACTTGCTCAAGTACTTGAGGTTTCTTGTTTCTTTTTTAAAAATTCTATGTTATTCCAGAGATTGGAAACCAGGTGATCTAGAGCGGCTCCTAGAAACAGCACATTAAGCAGTGAGCTGATTTGTAAGTTATGTTACCCCTCACCTGTCTCATCAAGTCCACCAGTATTTGTTTTAGTGAAGTAAGAAGTTATTTATTCCATGTTTTGAACAACAAAACTTGTACGATGTTATACTGTGGTGAAATAAAACCGATTTTTTTGTTGTAGATATATAATTAATATTTAAAAGAACATGCTTTATTTCATCTTTTTTCAATGTCAGATTGTAAATGCATTTTGTTGATAAAGTTTAAAATGTAAAAAAAAAGATTGATGTGAACATTCTTTGATGATGTCACAGTTTCAGGAATTTGATGATGTCACAGTCCAAGTTTAAAGGCAGCGGCATGTGATGATGTCACAGCTCAAGATCAAAGTCGTGGAATGTGATGATGTCACCAAGTGCCTTTTATGCTGGGTTCTTTGAAACCATTAATATGTATATATACAAGAGCCAGTGTACACTCAGCACATCGTGAACACTTGAGATACTTGAGCTGCGCTTACTCAAAGCTCAAATACACACGAAATAGAAATGTTTAGCAGAAAGGTAGGAATAACGAAAGATGCGAGTCTCTTCAAGGCCCGGTGGGAGATGCAGCTGGCAAAAACAGAGGAACATTTGTATTTGCATGCTGCAGAGGTGGCTGGCTCTCAGGGACAGTCTCAAATAGACAAAATGCAGACCAGTCACCAGAATAGCAGGGTCTATGAATTCAGCAGTGCCGATTTTAGGAAACAAATCGATAGGGATAATGGGGCACTGATAAAACTGGAGAAAAGGAAACAAGTCATGGCTGAAAATCGTAAGCATGACAATATTATGCAGTCTAGATGGGAAAATTGTCTGAAGAAGGATCAGGAGATCCTCCTCAAGAGAAGCCTCGAAAAGCAGTCTGTGGCACAGTATCAGGTGAGTCAGATGAAGGAAAGGGAAGTGCTGAAACAGGAAGAGAGACTGCAGGACCAGAGAGATGGACAAATGCTCCGGAGGCTCGATGAACAACATGCGCAGGAACTAGCAAATCAGGCAGAACAACAGAGGGAGTCAAAGATGAGGAATTTGAAGCAGCGACTGGATGATATCCATGAAAGACACCTCTATGCGGAGAAACAGAGGGAAATAATTAGGAGAGAAGAGCAGAAAGCCAGACTTGCTCAGATTGAATCTGAGCAAAAGCTGCTCCAAAGAAAAAATGAACAAGTAGAAAGGTTCAGGAGGCTCCAGGTACCCAAACAGATTGTTTATGACAAACTGGCAGCCTCAAAGAAGAAGCAGGCTACTGCTGTGGCTCTAATGGAAGAGCAGAGGATTGTCAAGTATGTGGTTGAGAGAGAGGCTGAACTAGCAAAGCAGAAGAAGGAGAGGGGGGAGACAAGGGCTGCAGAGCTTCAGTCTGTTTCAGCCTACAGAAAGACAGTCATAAAGGATAAAGAGCTGAAGAAAAAGGCAGAGCAGCAGAGGAGTGTGGGCTTTCTTCAGGCTGCAAAAGAGGCTGACAGGTTGTCTCTAGCTGAAGAAAAGCTGAAGGCTCAGAAGATCAGAGAGGAGAGACTCAAAGTAGATAAGGTCAATGTCTCTTTGGCAGGTGAAAAACATGCCAAGCTTCAGCAGCAGAAAAGGGATCAATTTTCTGCAGAGAAGAGTGCAGAATCAACTGCTGTGAAGGGGTCACACCTCCAGCAGGATGTTCAGCCTGAACACAAGAAGCTAGGGAGAAAACAGCGTCAGAGGCTGCAGCTCAGCGTTGAAGACCCCAATAAGATAGCCTTGGGGCAAGTCCTCCTCCCACCCATTTCCAAAGCAGCTAAAGACATTTTAGCTGCCAACAACGCAACCAGGAAAGGGTTTGGGAAATTCTTTAGTGGTGAGGGGTCCAGTTACCTCTCTGCAGATACCAGTGAGCCACTGCTCAGATATTCTAAGGCTAAACCTCAGAATATTAAACTGCTTCAGGGTCGCAACAAACTGGAGCCCATACAGACCAGGAATAACACTGTGAGACAAACCTGCCTCCCCTCTGCACCGATCTTCATTATGCCCCAGTACGCCCCTGAAGAGTCATCCACCGACCTCCCAGCCATCCGAATTACAATCAAACGGAAGCTCTAAAACAAGTGTAGGGTTACTATGATAAGTCACAACAGTACCATTTGTTGGTACAACAGTGGTTTAACTGTATTAGTGTAATCAATTAATTTTGGTTATCAAAGTTTATTAATTATCAAAAGATAATAGAAAATGACTTTAATTAGAATTAAAGATCATCTGGGCCAACCTTAAATAAGGGAACGATAGCCAATAATTCAATTCAATTCAATTCAATTAAATTTTCTTTGTATAGCGCCAATTCATAACAGAAGTTATCTCAGGACACTTTTAAAATAGAGCAGGTCTAGACCGAACTCTTTATAACATTATTTACCATGACCCAACCATGAGCAAGCATTTGGGGAAAGGGGCAAGGAAAAACTGCCTTTTAAGAGGCAGAAACCTAGGACAGATCCTTCGGCTCTAGGTGGGTGGTCGTCTGCCTCGACCAGTTGGGGTGAGAGAGAGACAGAGAGAGAGAGACAGACAAACAGACAGAGAGAGAGACAGACAAAAAGACAGACAGGTGCACAGCAACAACAGTAGCAACAACTACACTAATAGTAGTGACTGATGATGATGAACATGAAGAACATGACGACGACGACGACAACAGCAATGATGGGGGACAATGAGCAGCGACAACAGCAACAACAGTAACCGTAGCAATAATAATACTTATAATGATAATAACACTAATATCAGTGATATTAGCAATGGCAGTCAAGCAGGACCATGGCAGGAGGCTCCACCAGGATCCATGAGAACCTGTGAGACGAGAAAGCACAAGAACTCCGGGGAAGAAGTGAAGTTAGTAATATGCATTAAAGGGACATGAATGAGTGCAGAAAGAGAGGGAGAGGAAGAGGAGCTCAGTGCATCATGGGAAATCCCCCCGATAGTCTAGGCCTATAGCAACATAACTAATTGATTGATCAGTCTTAAAAAAATACACTAAACTATTATTTGAGAAATCGGATTAATAATTAGATTAATAACTATAACCAAAATCATTATTAATAGTTAAAGTGGAAGGCTTTGGAGTTCTGCATAGAAGAGACTGGTATCACCCGCTCTTGTACGAAATTAAATAGGCCAGCATATAAAAATACAATTAATTAGATACCATACCATGTGCGTCTGTATTCAAACCCATTTTAGGACACCATGTAGGCTCAGTGGTTAGCACTGGTGCCTTACAGCCAGGTTTTGGTTCAGGCCAGACTTTTTTGTGTGGAGTTTGCGTGTTCTCCACATGTGTGTGGGTTTACACCGGGTGCTCCGGTTTCCTCCAAAAAACAAATATGTACATGGTAAATAGAGCAGGCAGACACCCTCTCCACATTTATGGGTAGGCTTAAGACCTCCAAATTCCTCTATGATAAAGCTTATGGTTAGGGCTGGCTCAGGTGAGCCCTGAACCATCTCTTAGTTACGTTGCTATAGACCTAGACTGCTTGGGGACTTCCCATGATGCACTGAGCTCCTCTCTTCCTTTCCCCTTCTTTCTGCACACATTCATGTCCCATTTATGCATGTTACAAACTTCACTTGTGCGTTTTTAATTCTCGTAGGTTCTTATGGATCCTGGTGAAAATAACTCAGAAAAAACTAAACTCTTGTACTTGGCCCCAAAAACCTCAGACACTCACTGTCTAAAGACTCTAAATGACATTGCCTTGGCTTCTAGCACCACTGTCAGGAATCTTGGAGTTATCTTTGATTAGGACATGTCCTTTAATTCCCACATATAGCAAACCTCTAGGACTGC